ATATATATATATATATATATATATATGTATATAACACTATCTGATAACCTTGGGCCAGTTCCGATTCGACCTGGCCCAGTTGATTTTTCAAAAATTATTACCATAAAATTACTAGCTATAAATTTACTTAATGATAAGACCTACTCTCACTGACTTTTTTTTTTTTTTTGAATATTTTAAAATTATATAATTTTTTTAATATTTAAAACTTTTATTTTGTATATTTTAAAAATATATTTTATAATTATTTTTATTTTTATATTAAAATGATGAAATTTTAATATTTTAAAAAAATTTAAATTTTAATCTTAAATACATTAAATTAAAATTTGTTTCTTAAATTTTGTAAAAATCAATACATAATAAATAATTGGGACGGAAGGAGTAAAAATTATTAGACAAAAATCTCAATAGTTGCTCCCCACTCCAGGGGGTACTACTCAAAGCAAAAGCTTCATTCCGACAGCAAAGTGTTAGAAGGAAATTAAGGATAGTGAGAGGTGAAGGGCTGCCCACTGCCATTAACGAAAATAAGACTCCTCCAAATAATAGGAAACAGCAATGTACGAAGCGGGGCGAGAGAGAGGTACCATTCATTCCGATGCTTTGCATTTGCATGAGATATGTTATCTTTTAACATTGACAACGGGTAGAGTATGGGTCCCTTATCTATTAGGGTCCAGCACCCTTTCTCCCAAATCCAAATGTAGCTTCTTGCTTGCTAGAGTTTTCTTTTTTTCTTATATATATATATATATATATATATATATTTAATTGATTTTCTTGTTTTAAAACCCTAGATTATGGCAACCATTGCATTGTCGGTGAATCCAGGAATGCTTCCTCACATGCTAAAAGGTTTTAAATATCCTCCTTACCCACCCACCTAAACCATAAGTATAAAACAAAAAGAAAAGGTGAAAATGGGGGCCTCAATTATTTTATACTATGTTCTTAAAGATCCGCCAAGAAAACATATTTCTTATAACTCTAATTTGATGGGCTAATTCAAGGGGTTAGCAAGATTCGTAGTTTCTTTTAATTGTTTTACCAAAAATCTGTAAAATCTATCTGTCAAAGAAGCTTAACTGGTTTGGCAGCAACAATCCTATGATAAGGCTTCAAAAGTTGGTACCACTTAGTGTTGGGAGGATTTTTGGTACGTGTGACCTCCCTAAAAGGCTGCTGTCAATTGGTGGTGGGTTTGCTTCGGCCGACGGAGGATCCTTTTGTCCGGTTTTAGTCAATTCCATAATGACTCGCCCCAAGTGATGAGAAATAACAAAAATATATTGAGTTTCTTTTAGGATATTTCGATTTGAAATTGAACTATAATCGACGGTAAAAAATGAGTTGCAAAATTATTAACATTAAGAAAATAACTTCCAATCTCATACATTCTAAGGCTAATCTCATTCTTAAGTACATCAAGTATAACACTAGGATGAGCGGAGTAAATAGCATGAAGACCATTAGTAAATAGCAACTCTTCTTGCCAAAAGATCAACACCACCATTTGCTTCCTTCTAAGATGGACTTTAACTTGTAGAAAACAGTTAATAAGGACCAATTAGTTATTACTATTAGAAATTAAGGTCAAATTTAGTACTATATTATGTCTCATTATTGATTTTGTTTTCATATTTCAATTTTATTGAATTTTGTTCATACAATTTTTATTTCATTGATTTTTCAATAAAAAAGTAATAGCATTGGAATATACGTGAATTCAAAATGATAGATTTTTATTTAAAAATATAATGTTAGAATTTAATATTAAACCTTAATACAATGATAAATTCGACTTTAATGCCATGCTTTTATAAATGCAATTTGCCCCATTTTTAGTTAAATTGAACGAGAAGGAAGAGCATGTACAATGAGAAGGTGATCATGGTATCTATTCCAAGCTTAATTTTTCTAAATCTTTGATTCTTGCAAACACAAATTGAGAAGAGAAGGCTGTTTGTACGGCTATGGTCCTACCACATCAAAGAGACACCTACCTTTGATCTTGGATATTTGTGGGCCTCCCAATAACCACAGACATTGGCAACAATTTGGTCTAATGCACAACATAAAATAATCCAGCAATTTAAAATGATTTAAGTAATAAATTTAAATTTTAATTAAAATGATTTATATAATTAATTTTAAAATATAAAATTCAAACATTAATAATCTATTTCACTATCATGTTATTATGATTTTTTTATAAAAAATAATTAATTACTTAATGATTTTGTTATTCATCGTAATATATATGTATACAGTATATATATTTTTGGCTGATTTTTGTGCAATGGAGTATGGACTCAGTGGAGATATAAGTTCATAATGCACGTCTTGGTCCACCAGATATATCATATATACTTTGAGACAAATTAGATATAGGTATCTTTTCCAATGGGGACAGTCCAAGCCATTTCTGTTGCCTCTTGCATATGGCATGAATCATGAATGTTTCCTAGATTTTTATCTACAGTAACAAAATCCTTTTCCATTTTTGCCATTTTAGCTTTAAAAAAAAAAAAAAAAACTTTTACAAGTGAAAATCTATTAAACTTGAACATGTAAACCTGAAAGTAGGCCTTTAGTTTATATCATTAAAATCTCAATTCTCAACCCATTTTTTAAGATCCAAATTTGAAAGTTCTAAGTTAAATGTTCAATAAATTTAAAATTTAATTTAATCGATTCATATAATTATTTTTAAAAAATAATATTTAAAAAATTAAAATTTTAATATTTATAATATAATTAAAATTTCTTAACTATCAATAAGAGCAAAGTGACATATTCGAATAAAAGAGAAATTTGAGTCTTTTTTCTATTTAATTATCTAATTAGGGGTCTGTATGTATATCAAGCAAATTTGATTAAAATACAAGACAAACTTTACATAATGCCTAGAAACAAGGCCATAACTAAGTCATGAATTCTGGATAATTTCCTCTCACACAATTTCCAACAACCCTAATTTGCTCTTACTTCTCTATCTTACATGATTAATAAAACAGATAACACCTTTTTTTATGACACCCAACCCAACCCAACCCAACCCAAATCCCTGCCTTAAGACCAGATAACGCAAACAAAACAAGGTCAAAAACTATGATTTTCAACTGTCAGTTAGGCTGAAAAAAACGAAATGATGCTTGCTTAGAGTTGTCAGTTCCCTAACAATTGGCCGTTAAAATGGGGTTTGGAAGACCAAAACGACACATTAACCAAAGGGAAGAAAGAAAACCGTGCAATAGCGGCAACGCCAAACCCCAGAAGCTTCAACATACTTGCTTGGTGGTTTTCATTTTTGCCCAGCGTGGTGTTCTCAATTGGTTAAAGTTTCAAGTAAACCAATCATGGTTTTTTTTTTTTTTTTTAACAGACAGAAAAGGAAACTTAACTTGTCAGTTGGTGTGCCTTGATGGGCTTGTTTTCCATGACAAGACATTGAATCTAAGATAGATTAGAACATCTTTGATTTATAAGGTGTGCCTTATGCAATGCATGATATATTCAAGTAATATGGTAACTTGCTATATTGTTAATTAGTCAATCCAGTCTGCCAAAACCATGCTAAGAGTTGAATTAAAAAAAAATTAAAATGAGTTTATTTATGTAATTATTTTTAAAAAATTATACTTAAGAGATTTAAAATTAAAATTTTAGTATTTATAATTTTTTTTAATATTTAGATTGTAATCTCATTTGTAAAAAAAAAGAATTTAAAAGTCAACTAATATGTATATATATATATATATATATAGATAGAATATTGGGTTGTGGCATCACTATTTTGGGATGAATATAGTTGTCGTTAACAAAGAATTATTTGGCTAGATAAATCTAATTGTGATTTAAAAAAATTTCTTGTATATCAATAAGAGATCATTTTGTATTGAAAAGGTCTAACAGCGTTAGTTTTTGTGGTTGCCGAGCAAAGATGTAAGACTAACCAAATATATCAGCAATATGCATGGATGAGCTTCTTTTTTTAGATATGCAAAGGAGGTCCATGACATTTGGTTGGTTATGTATCACATTAATTTAAGTCTGCAAAATGTTCATGTTACTCAGTCAGTATGAGTAGGGTATATCTCTTTGTCCATACATGTGAAACTTTATTTTTTGGGGGGGATATTTTGTAATTTGGATATGGGAACTACAAGGAACGACAAAATCCGTTCCTGACCAAGAGAAGAGAGCAACTTAACATACCTTGTACTTACTCTAAAATTGGCATTGACATCATATTCTTGCAAAAAGGACCGACTGGACCATTTGCAAACGACCAACATAAGATAAACGATTGGAGGCTCAACTGTTTACCCTTCTACATAATTTCTGAATTAAAGGACTATTTGCAGAAAAATTTTCAGACTTAGTACTATTTAGTTGCAAACCGACATCAAATAGAACTGTTGTAAGATGGAGGATATGTCCAGAATCGATTCCTTTGCACAATTTGTGAAGACCTCAAGGCCACCACCAAAACATAGATGTGTCAGCTGCACCCTATTCCGAGTAGGATGATAACTAAAACTTCTTCAGCTTAGATGTAGCATTCTTCAGGGATGATAAAACATCCATCACAATCACAATTAGGGTAGGGAAGACCAAGGTTTCCCTGTCTAATGCCTTTTTCTGCCGGGAATAACCAAAACCTCCATTAAGAGCTCGCAATTTTTATCATCCTCGGATGTAATTTCAAACTTGCATTGTTACAACCACTAAAATTATCGTCAATTAAAATTATATTTGATACATTATTTATATGTATATATAAATGATACGCATCAATGTCAGTGAATAAAATGCTATACCTTAAAATTATAAATATAAATAAATAAATAAATAAAATGCTACCTCTAAAAAGGTTTGCAAGAGAAATTAATGACCAAGAAGGCGAATACCAAACTAAAAAAGAACATGAGATTAATTACTTCAAGTCGGTAATGGAATAAAATTACAAATTTCCACTGGAACTTAAACCCAGGAAACAAAGAATTGAAGAGAATACATTAATTATGAAAGAAAGTACTTGTCACAAAATTTCCTATAAATCAATGTTGATTTGGGTGGAGTGATTGCGGATAAAAATCATTGCGACCTTCTGCAACTCTACAGGCTATATCATCTGAATAATAAGAATTTCTGAGCTCATTTTTTACATTTCCTACATCTATGCAGCATGTCCCACCTATATAGTTGTTTCCCATGCATTCAGACTTATGCCATGGAGGCTGCTTTCGTTTCTGCTGTCTGAAGTACTTCTTACCCAAATCATACGAGGATTCCCTCCTCCTTTTAAATGTCTGTTGGATGTTAGTACATGGAATGTCTGTCTCTGGTGGATTACCACCAGCTGTGCTAGGAATGCTTTCATCAGGATAGCTACTGGCAGGTCGACGGCTGCCCTGTTGCCCTTCTGCAACTTCATTCATTCCAATGGGGTTAGCAGCACAAGCAGGTCGAGTGTCTTTCTTATCACGGGGACATGGAGGTAAAGGTGGAAAAGGGTGGAAAGGCATGCCAGGGGCAATCACCCAACTCTCTACACTTTCACCCTGTGGTGATCCAAACTGCTGCAAAATGGGCAATGGAATACCATATGATACGGGCAAAGAGGAAATGAATCTGTTCTGTGCATGAGCAATAATCACATCAGGACACTTCAACCGATAAAATTTTGGTTGGGGGAAATAACTAGCAGTTGATGAAAACGAAGATGTATTCATAGGAGAAGAGAACCCTGGTGGAACATTCTCCTGAAAACTGTGCCTTCCATTGTCAACATTATTAGTTTCACCTTTGCAAACACTGTCATGGCATTCTTTATCCCCTTTGTTCATCTTCTCTATGTGATCTGGTGTTGGTTGAAGTAAAACAGGTAATGGTGACCCTAAATCAATTTTATCTGTCTCTGCAGGCTGATCCCAACGGCTTTTGCGCTTGCGAATTTTGGTACCATTGGTTTGGGAAATGCATGTCGAAGATGATGAACAACCCTCACGGGCAGAAGTATCCATTGAAGTTGTTGCAGCCCCTGATTGCATGATACAACTAATTGCTTCTGTAGGTCTTATGGCCTGGTCACGCCAATGATTGTATGATGCTGAAACCTTGTTACATTCCAAACCCCTGTAAAACTCCATCCTGCCCTCTTCCTTGTCCCTGTAGCTGAGTTTTTTGACAGGTTTAGGAATCCATCTATCTCGAAAATTTCGAGCTATTTGATGGACCTATAATGCACGTTGAACCAATTAGAACTCAGATATTCACCCAACAAATAGGCTATTCAAGAAAAAAAGTATAGTCCATAAATAACAAGATACAGAAGTTATACAATTAATTCTAAGCAATAACTTCCTCTCAAATATAAATATCATGGAAAAAGAATTAATCAAAAAGAATATCAATGAAATTTCAAAAACTAAACTATGAACAAGAAAATACCTGTTTGTCATCATGCTCTGTCAATGACAGCATTGACTCCCTAAAGCTGCATGAGAAAGCAGAGTTTTCAGGAAAAGGGAATACAAAAGACTATAGAGCCAATTCACCAAACAAAACTCAGCTATGTTCTCCAACCTCTGCCTTCCAGCACAGGGAGGACCTCCATTAATATGTTCCGGCGTAAGTATCTCCCTCATTGCTAAATACTCTAAAACCTGCGGAAGTAAGTTGCAAGCTGTAGTCTTGTCTTGTCATATTTTCAGAGAGTTTTCTCATTATTTTCCAGTTCTCATAAGTGGTACTTTATCATATCATAATAACTATAGGCCAGATACCAGCTTAACAATAACAACTATAGGCCAGACCTGACTTCACCCCTTTTTTTTCTCTAAAGAAAATGAACTACTCAGATAAAACCATGCTTAAATTTGGCTGATATTATAAAGTTAGTTAATTAATCTCTATTTGGCTTTAATTCGATGTAGATCCCAGTTGGTTGCATATACAAAACTCATATGATCAAATGCAGTTATTTTATCAAATTGACTTATTTAGTTATTCAAGGTATGATAGCTACACGTACCCAAAAAGGAAAAAAAAAAAGAAGTATCATATTTATTATGAAAGCTAGTATGAAACAATATGTATGTAAGACTCAGATGCTTATATATATATATATATATATATATATATATACAATGCACATATATTGCATGTTCAATGAATCTTACGTAAGCACAATCAACGCTTTCTGCCAAGAAAAGTAGATGCAAACTAGATAAAACAAAAGCATTCATATCTATTTTTTCTCGTCCATGAAGGAACCTTGTCCCTGGGATGCACCATTTTTCTGCCTCAAGGTTCAGCAGCTTAAGCAATATCCTTTGCACTTAAATGCAGGCAAAGAAAATCCACAAAAGACAATTCTTCAAAAAGTATAGAAATGCAATTCTCCTACATTAATGCAGCTTGGTTTCCTAATTTATCTTGGGAATATTTCTCATTTAGTCCTCTGATTTAGTCAACTATTCTGATTGTCAAGTCTTTAGGGATTTGTTTCTATTTTAGAATAGAATAATTCTCTTTCCTTTTATTATCTTTGTTTTCTGTTTCATGTTAGTTGTTTCCTAATAAGGAACATCACCGTTCCTATTTATTTCAATATACTCCTTCATTCTAGAAATATAATAAGAGAAAAAGACAATTGTTCTCTAAGTTTTCTACAAAAGAGGTACTGGAAACTTTAAAGATGATCTAACAGCACTATCACTAACTTAACCAGGCAGCTACATGTTTTCAACATTCAATTTAGAATTACAGGTGGAGAACTTTCCACTGCAAAATTATTTTCCCTTTTTCCTTCTTTCAAAAAAACTAGTTAAGCATTTTCACCATTTCATTAAGCAGGGAAAAGCAGCTGATTCAAATGCTATTGTTGAATAAAACTATTAAAAAATGCACCTAATCCATGATAATGAATGTTTTCCAGGATATCTATTTTTTTGCCCTAACAAGAATAAGGGTATATAATTACCAAATCTTTTTGACTGTAAATACTATGATGTAACCTCTATTTCCAAGAATCAATACTTGACAGGACATGCAAATTCACAAATTTGACTATAAAAACTCCACAAATTACAATGCAACATGGTTTCGAGCACTGCACCTTTAGAAGCTTCCGAAGAATTGGAATCTTTTTGAAGTCCCTTCTGTATTTCTTCATTATGTTGTGTAGCATCTGCAAACCTGAAAACAAAAAAAACAGCCATTTATTTGCGTGCCAACGAAGATGCAACTGCAGCAAACATATTCATCATTGGATGCTGTGCAGCAAAAGTTAAGAAACACTACCATTCTTGTTAATTACATCAGTCAGCACAACTCGTGATTTTGTTTTTAAAAGAGCATCAAGAATCATTGAAAGATCTCGATTGCTGCACAACAACAAACCTAGAATCAAATATTGGAAACATATAAAGCAAGAGCACAAAATATAATGTTCCTAAGCCATCTAAATGAAGAGAAACTAGAAACTAGATTGACCTTTGAATTGCTTCACCATTGCCACTATCACCAGAAGTTGCTGTGAGAAGCAGAAGCTTCAAGTAGCGTTTAGAAGCATCCTGCCATAAATCAAAATGTCTGAGAAACATCATCTGGCATAAAAGCCAGAAACTTAGAAGCATAGTGCATTACAAGTAGGGTGGGCAACCCAACCTGCCCCCGGCGGGTTCCAACCCGACCTGAGCCCATAGGGTCCCGTTTTTTTTTTTTAAATCGGGTTTTGGGTCGGGTCAAGTAGTGCTAAGAAGAGGTCGGGTCTGGTCGGGTTCGGGTTTTAGACAAACCCAACCCGACCCGATATTATATAAAAATATTTTTTTTAATTAATTTTTTTATTTATATAATTATATATTTAAATATTTATATTTAAAAAAATAATATTTTATATTTAAAAATATTATTTTATTAAATTTCGGGTCGAGTCGGCGGGTTTGGCGGATATGAAGTCGGGTCGGATTCAAGGCGAGCAAAACCCGCCCCGCCTGACCCGACCCGTTGTCAACCCTAATTACAAAAAAGTCCACACAATTTCCTCATCAAAATAAGTAACATCTAATATGACTTTAAGAATATGCCAAAGCACACAACAAAGTAGTAAACACAAAAATGATGAAAACAAGAAATATTTGCTAAATCTAAAAATTTACTAAGTTAAGTGCATAACATTAAACCACTAACCTTTCTTCTTGTTATGCCCCCCTCAGAATCCAGCAACTCATTAAGCTTCTCCTCCACTGCAAGCATTCAAAAGCAAGTATCAGTAAAATAGAAAACGACACAGCAGTGTCATTCAAAGATAAGAGCATTCTTAACCGGCTTCAAAACGGCAAGTACTAGAATTTTCTGAGAATTTTCTGGGCTTGACAGAAGGCACTTGAGATTTGTCAGATGTTATCCGAACCTTATTTCCATTCAGAGAATTACTACTAATTTTCCCCTTCATCAGGGGATATGATTTTGAAGGAACCTGTTTATCTTCAGCTGTATCAAACTTTGACTTCTTATTAGCATCAACAACATCAGAAGGTAATTTGATGTCTAACATTTTTAGAGAAGTATCTAATTTCTGAATGGAACATGAAGTTTTGTTCACAGCCTTCTGTTCCGTGGTACAACCTGGCTGAGCAGCTTCACAGGGAGCTGCCATGGGCAAAACTTCTTCTAGCTGAATAGCTAATTGGAAATTTCCCTTCAAATCTTCTGTTTCAACTGAACTCTTCAATTGAGATGTAGCAGAAGCAGAATGGTTGAGAGAGTCAGCTTCTGGCATATTCTCCAATTTTATTACACCATCAGTTATTACACTCTCCACAGATTGTATTTCTGCACCATCAAAGGAACTAAATCTAGATATCATATTGTCAGAACCATTCCAGCTTTCACCATCTTCAAGCATCTTAGGTTCAGGAGATTCTTCATCTGAATCATCATGAACAATTACTTCTGCACTAAGTGGATCACCACCTATATAACCCCGACAATGAGGTGAACCACAATGACATTTTTTAGCAGCAGCTCCAAATACCCTCACATAGTTGTAGTCAAATGTAACCTCTTCACCCTGACAAATATAGTAAGCTTGTAACATATAAAAAGAAGATTTCTCATGCAAGCAACAGAAAGACAAGACACACGCGAACAAATATATCTATGTATGATTGATGTGACATAAGAACAATTTCATTTTAAGACTTGACCAAGCAACTAGGACTAGGAGAAAAAAGAGTTAGACTTGTGGAAAATTCCTAGAATAATAAAAATTTCCCCAAATTAGAACAATAGCACTACTGAGCAGAAATCATATAATTAGTTAACTCATAAGTCATAAGACCTCTTGGCTGGCTGGTAGGTTTGCATTTTTGAAACCTTAATATCTCATTAATTGTAAAAAAAATTAAAGACGCAAAATTGCTAAAGTTAAGTTTATGTAACAAAGAGCAACTCAATTTTTTTCTTCAATGGCCGCAGTAACATCCTTTTTTAATATCATAATGCAGCATCATATACAGCATCATATATTATTGACTATATTTTGTCATCATCTAGCATCTTTTGACTGTGGCCGTTTCTTTGGGTTGCATGCATCATCAATAATGAAAATGATGATGTGGTTGGCGCCATAAAGGCCCAAAGTTGATAACCAGATCAAGACAAATTAGATGGTGACAGATCTTGTGTTCAAGTTTTTATTAGCCAGTCCTGTGAGGCACATGTGACCAGATGGAATTTAATCAAAACATTAGGACCCTATTCTTGCTCCAGCTTTGAGATCTTAATTTTAGCCTCTGTTCACCCACATACTCTCTCTCTCTCTTTCTCTCTCTCTGCAGTTTACCCTTCAATACCTAGAATAGAGGTTTTCCAACCTAAAATACTTTATTCCTTTTCCACCTTCAATCTACCTTAATTTTCAACCTCCATTCTCCTGCTCACTTTCCATCTTTTACTTCCCCAAAATTCACCAGATAAGAGTTATAAAAGTGTAAGCTCCCCAAATGATTTTCAAAATCTCAAATATATCAACTTAACAGGAATCCAGTAGATCTGTGAGCTCCAAAATATGATATTTGAGATGTACGTATGAACCAAACCAGAAAAAAGAAAAGTAATAATGAGATCCCAAGTAACAGCTAAGCTTGGCATCAACAATATATACTGTGCAAGCAGACCTTCTTTATATCCCTTAATGCAAATAGTCCAATACAAATTTCTCCATTCACCATCCACTGCTCATGAAACAGACAAAAACAATGGAAACAAAGGTTAAACTTCTCGAAATGAAATGAACACATTAAGCATAGTTTGAGAAACAAAATTCAGTAAAACAAGACAGCCATGATCATATTCAAGGAATATAAACATAGAAAAAGCCAAAACATAATTCACCAAATGACATATAGAGACAAGCCCCCAAGTAGTTGGCCATATCAGATATAGAGAAAGAAAAATTAAAGCAGCTAATTTTATTGCAAGCTAATAGTCTAAGTCTGATTTTAATTGTTAATACATTGAAATATTATTAAAATTAAAAAGATTTCGAAGCCCATGGTACTCCTAGCTGATTTGGCAAATCAAATTTCAAAAGAAAAGTTAGTAAAAGCAATCCCCAAAATAAACTTATCCACCTAGCTTTTAATTAGGGGTCCATACAGTGGAGATGTCCTTGAATTACAAAGGTGGAATGGACACATTCTACCAAGAGATTCCATCATTCTGCTATCATCCCAATCACGATAACAAGCACTTTGTAAGAATCCCATTTAATTTATTTTTATTAAAATAGGGATCTCATTTTCTTATTTACTGATATGATAACAAAGAGCTCATATGAACAATCACCTTTTCGGTACGACAATTGGGATCACAACTATGGTTAACGAAGCGCCCCAAATTTCCTTTGACATATGCATCTATTACCTGGAAGAAGGGGAAAATATCCTTGAAACTGAAACATCAAACTATCAACTGACAGAGAAAAATCATACAACAGAATAGATTTGAATGATATAAAAAAGAAACTGAGAAATGAAAGCATTATTCAGGACAAATGGATAATTACAAGTTTGCAGCAAAAATGGGGGTGCAAAAGCAAATAAAGTGTAAATTGAAAAACTAAATCTAAAGTGGCAAGGAAACCTCCTCTGCTTCTCCAGAATACATCCAGTGATAAAAAGGTTTTATCATGAACAATGAATAAAATCTACTAGGTAAAATTATGTTTCTTGTTATGTGCACGTACATGAAATAAGCGCTAAATATTTAAATAAAAAAACCAAATACAGGCAAGAGACAGTTGCGAACTTTCCTCAGATGCTATGGCCTTTTGTACTATCATATGCTATATGTTTGTCATATTATGTTTGAAAAATATAATTAATAAAAAATAAAAAAGGTAAAGGACATTATCCAAACCTCACTGCCATTCAATGTCATGAAGTAGAAATGCCTCTGACCCCTAGAAGCATACTGCTTTTGCCGAGTCTCATAAGCTTGCATATCAAGCACCTGATAAACCAAATAATTAAATATCTATAAATATTCAAATATAAAAATAAAATGTCTACAAACAATGAATCAGCATCACATGCATTCCCACTCTTCATATAGTCTAAACACCTGGACAATGGGAATTATTTCATCTATATAATATGCAAACTATATCAAAAGGTGAATTATGGATCAGACAGCAAGCGTGAGAAACTTTCAGATGAGTATGACAGGAACTGCTGAGCTTGCTGGGTATTGGAATATGCAAAATGACTTGCACAAAAAACCAAAATTACACATAATAACATATGAATCTTAAAATAATTGAGGGATCATAATACTAAATAGATACACCCAACTTTTGTCCTTCCTCCAAGATATGAATACCTAATTCCCATTTTTAAGAGTGCTTACAAGAAAGAGACCTTACTCACTGCTTAAGACAGCACACATATAATATCAACAAAATAATAAAGCTCAACTTGCTAGCCATGACACAGCATATTTGCTGTTTTTGACCAAACAGTACTGTTGGTGGAAGCCTCAACAACAGTCTTCATTATGGCTGTGGTTTACCTAAAGTTTAAGGTACCATTACTTAAACAAATATAAAAGTCAAATCTAAAATAGCCATGACTTGAATTTAACTATAATTCCAACAAGTCTGTCACTAATCAACAAGCGAAAGAATACTATAAAACAAATCTTAGGTTACCTCTCCAACGTATTCAATAAGGAAATGGCCAGCAGATATATTCTCAAGCGTCCTCAGCCCAAAACCTTTCTTACCAAATTTGTCCCACTTCATCATTGCATATTTGCGCTTCTGGAACTGCATAATAGATGTTTGGAATAAAATAACATTCTCTTCAAAGAAATCCTCTTAGAAACACACACACAAGGATATATACTGCATAAATATTGTCATTGTCATATACTTAAAACAGTGGAAGAACCTGTTGATTTGAACAAAGGTCCCCACATGGACAGGTGCCTTGAACACATTCAATGTTCAGCATTCGATTTAGGCATTCATCCCCACAACCAAACTTAGCGTCTGGAGGTCGTTTGCAATGGCAAACCATTATCTGCTTAAAATTTAACTGAAATGTTAATAGCAAAAACACAAGCCCAAACAATATAACCACAAAAGTAATCGACATAACAATGAGAGAATGTAATCAGAGAAAAGAGTAAATTTAAGTTTTTTTTGTCCAATTTAATGAAAGCCTATATACCAATATTACTGACGCATTGAAAGATAACTAAAGCAAGAACAGAGAGGTGTCAGCAAGCTTAACAGATAAAGTATGTTTATCCAAGATATGGGATCAAATTGTATCTTTACCAAGGACTTAGAAGGGAAGATTAAGACTCCATTTGGTAGCTCGAAATGAACTTCCAAAAAAATATTCAGTAACAAAAAATTTCTAGAAAAGAAAATTTCGGTTGTTTGATAAACTCATTGAAAGTTATTTTCGGTGTTTGGCATTCAATGGACAATACCCAAAATTTTCATGATTTATAAACAATTTAATCAAAATGCAAACAAAATCATAGTCCTCCCTAACTTTAGATGTAGCTGCCATTTGTTAAAACCAAAATATTCCATCTTACAGTCCTACCTATCTTCATATTGAGGAAGACTAATCATTATTAGAATTACAACGAAGAGGAATGATTATTATAACAAGAATGAAAAATCCAATCACAGACTAAATAGCATTTAATTATTTAATGAATTCAAGTTAGGTTCAGAGTCAGACCTCATCAATGGTTTGAGTTTTACGGCCACGGTGCAAAAATTGGTTACTATCAATACGCCAAAAATGAGATGGTACTGGCACTGCAATAAATTGAAAAGTGAGTTAGAATAGAATATCAAAACGGAAAGGAGTAGGAGAAAAAAGAAGCATTACACTAAAACAACAACATTTCTATCTACAATTCATTCATGCAGTTTGGCTATCAACAGCAAAAATTATACCTCTCATACATTTACTTTCAAATCCCTTCTCCTGTTCCTTGTAATTAAAACCATCACAACCATCTTCCTCAGCATCTGATATGCCCAACTCAAAATTAATATCAGCATTGGACTTCTCTTGAGGAACTGAGCAATCAGCAAAAGATTTATCCACGTTGTCCCCACAGATCCTTCAAGGTATATGTCAAAACATATTTAAACTAAGACATCAGACAGATTTTCTCAGTGCAACCAGAAAAAAACCACCAATGCTTTAGAAAGATAGGTCAAAAACATGAGGAAAGATAAAGACATGACATTTTTTTTGTATCCAAACTACTGTCATGGTAATGCTTATCAAAAGATACAACATGAAAACACACTTGAAATGGAAAACATATTATACAACAAAGCTCTGCCAGAAGAGAAAACATCTGATCAGATAGTAAGATGCCAAGTTTTATGAAGACTACTCATTAGAAGAAAACCAACTGTGTTTCTGCAAGTTGGTGGAGTATGCTTTAGGCCTAGGTGAAATGCAACAAACATCAAGCACTATAGCTCAATCAAGCCTTCTATACAAACATTCTGAAGGCCAAGGAATCCTAAAAGCATAAAGAACACTTCCAACAATAAAAGCTGGACTTAACACAGATAGGATTAAGGTTACCATTCTCATACAACTTCCACCATTAGAACTTTAAAAGGCAGTGCAAAATTCTATGAGAGGGTCAATTAATTAATTCCATCAAGAATGGCCCAAAGGTAGAATCTGCCTGCATAGAGAGTAGACCTCTGCAAAGCCATGTACAGTAATGGTTCTTCCCACATTTTTTTAATCTATTTTTAAAAAGAATGCATCCATCATAGATGTTAATGGCATCCTATTTATCTTGACTAAAGTGTGACTTAGAATCTGGCATTTGTCTTACATATAAGCAGTCAAGTATGTAATAATTACCGTATTACTCCCCAAAAAAATTTATATATATTTACCAAGAATTTTCCATAAATTCACTAAAACCGAGGAATCAACACAGCCTCCAAAGCCTAATCAGAATTCAGAACCTGGCTGAAAGCAACTTCCAAGTCCTAATTTCATAGATACCAGAACTAGGTTGAAAAACACGAATTGTGTGATTAAAATATGCAAGATCCATAGCTAAATAACACATTTGGTCATTGCAGTTCATAAGATCTGCGGATAAATAACTAAACAAGTGAAACTTCCTATATCAAATATGTGTTTGATCAAGTGATTGATTGTTCCCAAACATTTAAGAGCCAACAAAACAAACATGAAAAAAAAAAGGCATTTTATAACAATTTTCATATAAATTGCATTCTAAGATGATAAAAAGATTTATGAATAACAGTATACCAACGGCATGCCTCATCAATTGACTTTACAAGTGCAGCAGGCATTCGCCGCCATTTATGACAATCATCACAACGCACCCAAGAATCATCAGGCTGTTTACGCTGCTCCATGACACCATCTGATACCATGTCAACATTAACCATGTCCACAGATGCAATACTGTTGCCAGCATTTGAGCTCTCAATATCATCTGAAACGTGATTTCCAGCAACATCAACTATTGTAAAATTAATTAAAACAATCTCCAATTTCTTGTATTCTGAGTAAATTTATCCCATTGGCAAGGAATAAGAATGGAAAATAATACATTAAAAGATTAAAGAGATTATAAATAATAACAATAACATGAGAAGAACAGAGAAGAAGGGAAGAAACAGTACACATATCCTTATAGTCCAAGTACCTGTTAGTGGACGCTTTCCTCCTCTGGCTACAATCTCTTCATCAGAGCCTTTCTCCTTTACTTTGCTCTTACTAACTGACTTCAACTCATTTCCCCTCTGCTTACAAGCATTTCCTTTCCTGCTCCTCACAGAATCAGAGACTCTGGATTTTCCCTTGCTCGCTCCCTGAGATTTTGAACTTTTGGAAAGTTGATTCTGCTTGTATTTAGAGGAAGACAAATTCTTGATGCTCTTTGTATCTTGAAAATCCGGACTGCAACATGCTTTAGCATCCATATTAATTCCCACTTTCATGGCCTCTTCAGAGACTCCAAGTCCATTCTCTCTTGAAGAATTTGCACCAGTGAATGAATAAAGAGCCTCGCTAGACACAAATCCATTAGCTGTTGTTTTTTGTCTGCCTCTGCAATTCTTTGATGAACTACGTTTCCTTGTGCTGGCAGCACCAGGAGATATATGACCATCCTTCTTTCCCCGCTTGCTACCCTTACTATTCTTAACACCTCCAGGAAAAGCAAGAGCTCCAAAAGCATTCAAAACAGTATCATGCAATGCTTCTTGGTGTATTAAACCAACTTGGACATCAGGAATTGAATTGATTACTTCTGAATCCGGTGAAGTTCCAGGATCCATATACTTGTTTTCTATCGCTTCTCCAGATGCTTCAGCTACTGCATCAGACTGACTTACAAGGTAATTATCTACAGCATCTTCAGCAGACTTTTCAAGATTTTCAGCACTCCCCACAACTTTATTTGCTAGTTTTAGATCCACTATAGAATCATCTGAGCATGTTTTCACCTTTTCTTGGTCCCCCTTGGACTGAAACTGTCTTTCACTACCCAGTTCCCCTACTTTATCTTCAACAACATTGGCTAATTTTGGAAATTGTAGATCGGTTTCCTTCCCATAATTACTAAAAGAAGTATCAACAGAAACTGAGGGATCAACCACACTAATCAGATTACTTGGAGCAACTTCCTTGCCAACTTTAATCTTAAAACGTAGGCAACTTGTTGAAGTGTTACTTAGCCCACTTGACCCTTTTCCGTTTTTACCAGCCCGATTTTTGCTTCGTTTCCCACTTCCTTGGCCACCTCCAGCTTTGTGTGGTTCTTGATTCCACACATCATTACACACAGGGACAGGACACAGCTCAAGATATTGTGTAACATTACTGAACAATCCCCAGATAGAAGAACGAGCTGGTTTGGATGAACAGCTTCTCTTCCTTCTTGAAGCTTTGAAAAGAAATTCAATACTTTCATGTGGGTGTGGCAGCTTTGTGTTCCTACAGTTCCTAGCAATCCTTTTTGCAGGAGTCTTTCGGCTTGATTTACTTTTTCGGCTATCCCTTCGAGAAGAGGAAGATGTGGTAGGATGATGTTTTGTTTCTGAGACACAATCAGCCTTGACAACATCCTTTCTTTCATCTTCTCTTTCTCCAGAACAATCAATTGAATTCCTAGAACTAATTGCAGCACAAGCATCCTTTGTCAAAATATCCAGAGGATCTGACCTCCCAGACAAGCCATTTTCAACAACATCAAAAGGCTGGCATGACAAAGAAGCTGATGTATCACAAAGACAGTTTGCACCTAGCTCAAAAGAATCCCCCCTCAAGTTGCAGGCATTTTCTTCGGTATTTATTATTTCACTGGAGGTTTCAACCTTTGTACCTGCAGTAACATCAGTCCTCCCCTCAAAAACCTCTGCAACACCATCTCCTGATGGACAATAAGCATTCTTATCGTCAGTTTGTGCATTTGTGTGCAATGATTCAGCTCTATGTAACGTTTCCAATATACTTAGGCAACCCTTTGAAGCAAATAACTGAATACGTATATGATCATTACTTTTAGTTTCAACAGGCTTAGTAAAACTTTCCAAAGAGAGATCACTGCTACTCAGATCATCAATCTGGTTATACAAGTCAGAACTACTAACTGAATCACCTGTAGATGGTAAATTGGAAATTGTCTCAGCACAACATGAAGCTGATATCTGGCTGCACATATCAGATTCTATAATGGATAAAGCACCACTTTTCCCATCCATAACAGAACCTCTGCCAATGTTACTATCCTTCAGGTAATTTTGTTGGGGACAACCAGTGATGGCTACTGATTCTGAAGGCAAGCTACTTCCCTGGATGGATGGCATCTGGTTGCAAATTTTAGTCTCAATCTCAGATAATATCTCTTGTTTTTCTTCCATAGCTACTTCCATGGAGGAACAACAGGTTCTTGTATCATCCTTATTCCTATGTTCACCAGTTAAGGGCACTTGACATTTCTTTGAAGGCAAAATTTGGTTCAGAACATCAGTCCCTGTCCTCTTTAAAACATCATTTTTCTCTTCACACTTCTCTTCCGCATCTTCCTTGATCCCTAGCAGAATGGAACCACTGTCCCTCTCATCATCCTTCAGCTTATCCTGTTTAACACAATTTCTAGGTGTAGTCACTGTTTTCGGTTCTGATGGTATTTCACCATCCAGCGAAGCATTATTTTCTGAGTTGTGATGATCAACTATACCCTGATTCTCAGTCAAACAAACCCCACCTTGATTGTCCATACATTCTTTTAACATCATACCAACCAAATTTTCACCATTGGCTTTCATCTGATCTTCACAGTTTGTAGAAATCTCTATGCCACCGCTCAAACAAGCAGTATTTTCATCCTGAGACAAGCCTAAAGATCCATCCATAGCAGTTGCATGGTCCTCACCAGAAGATCCTCTGTTTTTCAAGCACGACAGATCAGTTTCCAAATCATGAACATCAATGTTACCCTGATTTTCGTTCAAACAAACCAGATGATTAACAATCCTATCACCCATCAATTCCCTTGAACCAGAACGATCTACATTTTCACACTGATTTTGATTTGAATAACCACCCACCAATTCCTCTGGCCCAGAACCATCTAGATTTTCACCCTGATTATCATTCAAACAAACCACAGTATCACCACACCTGTCACCCATCATTGCCTTTAAACCAGAACCATCTACATTCCCTTCCTGGTTTTCATTCAAGCATACCATGCATTCACCATCCTTATCACCAATCAATTCCTTTGAGCCAGCACCATCAACATTCTCACTCTGATTTTCATTGGAGCAAAATGTACTATCACCAATCCTATCACCCATCAACTCATTTGAAAAAGAACCATCCACATTCTCGCCCTGATTTACATTTGAGTAAACTGCACTATCCCTGCACCTATCGCCCATCAATTCCTTCAAACCAGAATCACCCATATGTTCACCCTGATTATTTTCCAAACAAACCACACTATCACCAAAAATATCACCTGTCAATTCTTTTGAGCAAGAACCATCAGCATTTTCACCCTGATTTTCTTTCAAACAAACTGTGCTATCACCACATTCATCACCTATCATTTCCTTCAAACCAAAACCAACCGTTTGGCCCCTTCCCTTTATTCCAACTCTGCAAACAATATCCCTAGACCTTTCACAACCAGTATTTTCATCTTCACCAGGTTCATCAGCACAATCCCCGTTAGCATCAGTCACAATGCAATCCCGCTGCTCAGGCTCAAGGTTTCCTACTGACTCTGAGCACGAATGTTGCTTTGCAGCAGCAACTTCACGCAAAGGTTCGTTAACCAAAGTCGTATTCTCGCAGGAACCCATCTCAGTTGTTGTCCAAACAAATTATCAAAATTGCAGCAAATTCATTACTCCAAACCTAAATAATAAGAGAAAAAACGTAAAAACAAACTTTGACCCAATAATAAAAATCAAGTATATCCCCTTCACGAATAAATGCACCCTCAAATTCACCGCCAACGAATCCCTAGCACCCTTTTTCTGACCATATCGTTCCCAGTAAAACCTTTATTAAAGAAATAAAAACACTACCTTTTTTCCAAAGATCTCTCAGAGGAGAAACTCGACAAAACCCTAGAATCCCTTACTCTGCACAATTCAAAAGCCCCTAATCTCAGAATCTAAACACTAATGCAGATAGAACAAACATGAGTAAAAGGAAGAAAAGAACGGAAAACACATTGAAACAATAACCACGAAGAAAAAGATTGGAGAAAGTAAAAAATACCTGTTAGAGAGAAGCGGAACCAGGGCGTTGAAGAAGGAAGAAAAGGTCGGTTTTTATATTTTATATTTTTATAAAAACATCAGTGAAAACTGTTTTTTTTTTTTTAAGAAAGGGAATTCGGTGGCACTGGAAACAGTAACAGGAAAAAAGCGAAAAAAACAAGGTACCGCTGAAGGCAGGGAGCTCAGATATTAAAATATCAATTTTGACCTTTTCTCGGTTCTTTATAGTCTTCTGATTACAGTGAAGACGATTCTACTCGCCCGAGTTTGATTGGGACAATGCTACTCTCTTCTCTCTCGTTTGTACACTTGTATTTCTTATGGGTGTTTTTGTCATTTTATAAAAGAATCGGTTTCTGCCTTTTCAATTTCGTTTTTTTTTTTTTCTGCCTGTTGGGAAATGTGTAACAGGTACGGATCTCGTTCCACTTTTTTTTAATATTAAATGAAACAATTCGGTTAATGATGAGATTAAAAAATATATAAACATAGAAAATCCATCATCGGGAGAGCATCATGATTGTTAATAAAAAGAACATTATTTAATAAAAATTAATGATAAAAATAATTTTAATTTTTTTATACTGATATAATTAATTTTTCATCCAACCTTTAATAAAATACTTCATTTAATATTAAAAAATAATAGGAGCCAAATCCAGTAGGAACATGTTAGGATTCACCCACAGCAAATCTTTGGGCATGGATCAGAATATTAATAAAGCCAAGTATAAAATTTAATATTAGCTTAAATATAAAAAATGTTCTTCAACTAAAATTAAATAATTGTTTATTTTTTATCAATTTATTATAATTAATTGAATTATCTAACATTTATTTTTATCTAATTTAATCTTTAAATACTTTTTCATCTAATTGAATCTTCAATTGAATGAAAATTAAAAATAACAATTAATTAATTTTCATGTAATAAAAATTTAATTAAATAAAAATAAATATGCAAAAATTTAATTAATTATAATAAAATTATAAAACTTACACGATTATTTAATTTGGTTTCATAAAATTTTTTAATAAAAAAATTAATGTGCACTAACAAATTAGAGGATTGTCTCATATTTTAAAAAATTTTCTTGTTGAGTATTTGAATAATGCTTTTTCAAATGTTTCTTACATCAAATTTAATAAAATTAATAGTTAATATAATGATTTTTATACAAAAATACTTGCTTAAATAATTACTACATATGTTATAATGTTGCTTCTTGCATAGAACAAGCTCCCCTTTTTTTTTTTTTTGTTTTTAAAGTGTTAAAAACGAATTAAAATAGTCAAACAGGAAATCTTTTTTGTAGCACTGAAATATCCAATATGTACTGCTAAAAGAATTAAAAATTTGGTGAGAGGAATAAAGCAAAAAGTGGCACTTTAATTAGCTGCATGTTACACGTGTCGGAGGAATATTGATTTTTCAATCTTGTAATGCAGGACCCTTGAGAAAACACAGAAAAAAAAAAAAAAAAAAAGATGACAATAACCATCGAGAAATAGATTAGAGATTAGTAGTAAAACAAAAAATAAAATCACATTTAGGTAGGCTTAACTTCACAAAATTAGAGAATAAAAAAACTACAAAATTAGAGATTTTTATGGGCCAGATGAATTGGGCCTACTAACGCCTCAAAAACTTAAGTCTAGGCTCAAGCTTCGTTCACCTTACTCATTTATTTATTTATTAAAATATTAAAAATATTTTATATTAATATATTAATATTCTTTAAATACATTTTAAATTAAATAGAAATATAATTATCATATATATTATATAATAAAAAACATTGATACCTTATCAGATAATTTACGGTGATGCTTACGTGAATAATTTATATTTTTAATTAACATATAAAATTTTGTAAATAATTTCTAAATTTACATTATTTATAAAATAATCTTATCCAATTAATTTTAATATTTTAAAATTAATATTCAATCAATTATTCAATATTTCAAAATTACCAAAATTAACTTTATTCAATTGTTATCTTATTTAAATCAAATAAAATTTATCTCTCAAACTCACCATTTTCAAATACATATTATATTTAAAATTCAAGTAGCTTTTTTAAATATGTATAGCATTTAAATTTTAAATAATTAAGAATTATCTATGCATTTTAATTGTTATCAAAGAATTATCTTATCCTTTGGCATATAAATACATAGTACTTGATATATCATTTTTTCTTTCTCAATTTGCAAAATTTTGCTCAAATGCGTAGTAATTTTTCGTTTTTGCTATAACCATTATTTTTCTAATTCTTTGTTTTTCACACATTTTCTAACTTTTTTTTATATTTTATTTAATAATTTATCAAGATTTCATAAGTGAAGGTATTTAAATTTTTTTAATGATTTAATTTATCATTCAACAATATATTAGGGATTATGAATAGCACTATATGTATATTTTCAATAAGCTAAAATATGAAAAAAGCTCTTGAAGTATTTAAAATAATCTAGCTAAACCCTTATACTATTATGTCATCTAAATAAGTCTATTAACTTTTATTTTCTACCATCAAAACCCTTCTACTTTTAAATTAATGACATGTTGACATTTTTTAAAACATGTGGATGATGACATGATAAAAAAAAGTATACATGTGTAAAAATAAAAAATTTTCAAAAAAAATGGTCTAACAAAAAATTTTATTAATTGATACCATAATTAAAAGTAATTATAAAATATATAAAATTAATAAAAAATAATAATTTTATAATTAAAAATTATTATTTTTATTAATTTTATAATAAAAATAATAATTTGTAATAATAAATAATAATTATATTTTAATAATATAATAAATAATAATTATTGTTTGTTATATTTATTAATAAATAATATTTATATTTATTAAAATATAAATATTATTTATTAATAAATATTATTTATTATTTATTAATAAAAAAGAAATATCTTTATATAAAATTAATAAAAAATAAATATGTATATATATGGAAATTAGTAAAAAGGAAATTAAAATCACTTTTATATTTTTATATAAATGTAACTTTGTTTTTATTAATTTTACATATAAACATTTTCTTTTATTAATTAGTTTCAATTATAGTCAAATAATTAATCATTTTTATTAATTTTCGCATAAATTTAGACATTTCATTTTTTTAATAATTTTATATATTATTATTTTTATAATTATTTTTAATTATGATATCAATTAATAAAATTTTTTGTCAGATCATTTTTTTTATTTTTTATTTTTTCACGTGTGCCTTTTTTTTGCCATGTCATTGTTCACATATTTTACAATATGATAACATATAGTTAATATAAGGGTATAATGGTTTTAATAGTAAAAAATAAGATTTGAGATATTTATTTAGTTGACATAATAGTAAGAGCCTTAGCTAAATTATTTTGAATACTTCAAGAACTTTTTTCATACTCTTTGCAATGGTAAAACTACCAAATTCATATTTCAAATATGTTTGGCATTTGATAAGGAATTTGATTTGTCTTTTATCACTTATTATGTTATTTTTACACTAAAAAAATTATCAATTTACATCTTAATTAACATCCAAAAGTTTTAAGTCATGTACAAGTAGTATGTACAACGTCATTTTTATTATATTGTCAGTTTACAACTTAATTTTCTTTCAAATGTATATTATATTATTATTACAATTTCGCTCTTATAAAAAAATATTTTTTCAATTTTTTTCTTTTGATGTACATTTTCTAAAATTTTTCTTATTTGATTCAACAATTTGATCAAAACCACAAAAATAAAATATGTTAATATTTTTTAAGATTTAATTCATCATTTAATAATATATTCTTTATTCTTTTAAAAAACAATATAATGTATATTCAATTTTTTTATTTTAAATGCATGATCCTAATCTTTTTCATATTTCTTTTAGCATTTTGATCAACATCGCAATAATAAAGGTATGGTAATTTTTTTTTTGTTATTTCATTTCAATGGTTACAAATTACAATCTATAACTATATATAATGTTTCTCCCCTTTGTGGGTTTAACATTAACAGATTAGCAATTAGAAAAAAATTTAATTAGCAGGTTAGTTTGAAAAAATGTTGTTTGCTTTTTAACATTTTATACTCTTACTTTTTTACTTTGCTCTTTTTTTTCTCTATCTCTTTCTTTCGTTTGTACTTTCTCTCTGGTTTTGTTTTTTTATAGGTATATTTCTTTTTTTCTATCATTGCTTTCATCATCTTTTAGCTCTATTTTTTTTTCTCATTTTCAATTCTTTATTTTTTAGATTTTTTTGGGTCAATGGTGAATTTGATTTGTTTTAACATTGTTTGTTTTGTGCATGCGTATTATTTGTTTTATTGTTTCATCCATTATCTAGATTCTTACTTTTGTGGTTTGTAGCCTTTGATTATGTGTTTGTATTCAATTTCTTTTCATGATGGAGCTTTTTTTTATTAAGTTTTTGTTTTGAATTGGGTTTTCTGCATAATCAAAATAATTTTTAAAAATACATTGGTATTTTTTAAGAAAAGATATTAGACGTGTGAGCAACTGAATTGTAGATTTCTATTTTTCATTTTTTGGTTTTTGTTTTGTCGATGGTGAATTCCATATTGTTGAAATGGTAGTTTTAGTTGTTTTCAAGTTTTTTTTTTCATGCATTGTTCTTATTATTATTTTTATGTTTTATGGGTTTGATTTTTTTTTTTGTTTTGATTTTTTTTTTATGTATGTGGGTTTTGTATATTAGGTGATGTTTTATTTTTTTGAATTAATAACTGGAGTTGGTTTATTGTTAGAAGGTTAATTTTTCCTTTTAGTTTCATTTTTTTCTTCATTTTTGTGAGTTTTTTTTAATGAAAATTTTTTGATGTTTTAACTGTTAATTTGAGTTATTTTGACATCGTTTGTTTGTGCATGCCTATTGTTTATTTTATTGTTTCATGTATTGTACAGATTGTTATTTTTGTATTTTGTAGGTTTTAGTTATGTGTTCAGATTAGGTTTTTTTTTTTTATCCATGGAGGTCTTTTTTTTGTTAAGTTTTTTTTTTTTTTTGGATTAAGTTTTCACCACAATCAATATAGTTTTTAGAAAAACATTGGCATTTTTTAGAAAGATAATAAACATGTTAAAAATTGAAGTGCTTTGATTATGAGAAGATTTATGGATGTGATAGGTGAGGAATCGAATATAAGAGTTGTCTTTTG